TTTTGTGATAAATAAGTGAAATAGGGCTGAGGTACTGAAAAAAGCTGCTTAAGTATGAAAAACTTTAATCTTACTTTCTATTTATATTTCGAATCGTTCATATATAGTAACTCAAATTTGACTTAACACAAAACCAGTTTATATGACATTTAGACAGAGTTTGAATATAGACATGTTAAATGATCGTTAATTGTAATTATCTACGTCAATATCTATACCCTTTGTGATATTTAAGATAAGACTCACGTGCGAAGATTTATATCCCTAAGCACATGTTTATATTTACTTTCTTAGAATGAATCATTACCATTGTCCATCAGATTACACAACATATTTAGTGTAATAGCCTTTACCTTGTGGACACTGAGCACAGGTAACTGTTCCTACACTTAGTGTCACCCGTCGCTCAAAACTCAGATAATTATCTTCATTGAACGTATTTAATTATGATTTGATGTTTTGTAAGGCAGTTAGGTTCTAGACTCTGTACGGAACACATCGGAAAAATTTGGAAACCCCATGATATCCCGCCGTCAAGTCGAAAGTTATCTATAATTAGATTTCAAAATTAAAATTGTATCAACTCTTACGTCGTCATTTCAACTACATTTCGTATACAAAACGTGCGGAAAACCCGTCTGTTAGTACTTCCAGACGATTTCTGTCGTACGTTCCTATTGTGATGTGTACTAAATGGTCAAGTCATATGGTGTACTTAATGGTCAACAGTCATATGGGGTACTAAATGGCTCCTTTGTTTGACTTTCTGCATTAACAATGTTGGGGAAAAAATGATAAAAGATAATTTAAACGACGAGGATGGGATTCGAACCCACGCGGGGAGACCCCAATGGATTAGCAGTCCATCGCCTTAACCACTCGGCCACCTCGTCTATTGGTAAAACATATTTGTATGAAATAAATCTTTCCATTCAATCTGACATTGAGTAAATTAATTGTAAATAAAGGCAACGTGAACAAAGGCTGACATAGATATACCTCCCCTTTCCCTATTCCGACCCCCACCCATAGGGAGGTGGTCTACAAGAGACTGAAGTAAGTGGACTCGTTTGTTTACACCGCAACAACAAGGGAATACCGAAGCGTCAACAAAACCATAATTACAACTTAAACGATAAAACTATGGCAAAATGTGAACAAAGGAAAGATTTACGTGGAGACATTGAAAATACACAAGGAGAATAAGACCAGATGTTCCGGCAGGGAAAGCGTCTTCTGCTTCATCGACGTCACCCGCCATGTAAATATATGTCGAATCCAAGTAATGTCACTAGCTATTTGCTTTCAAAGTATAAAGTGTGATCTTTGTCCGTGGTCTTGGATTTTTAATTCTTGACCGATGACCACCAAAATAAAAACAGGTATAAAACTTGATTTTACCATACTATTTTGTAAATATAAGCTCAATGTATTTTGTGGTTGATGAGATATCAAGTACATGAGGTTTTTTTATAGAGGATGCTTTGCTCGTGGTGTTTGACCTTTTCGCCTTACCCGAAGACCAATAATTTTTTTTTTTTTTTTATGGTGTATATAAACTAAATATGTTCAGGAGATACGTTGTACAGAAGCGTTTTACTATGGACGCATGTATATACAAACGGACGACAAAGTGGTTACAACATTTTGTATATGCCTCTTAGTGTGTGATATTAAAAGTAAAACAAACTCACAAAATAACTTATAATAACGTACTAGGGATGCATGCGTAATATATGCTAAAAAAAAGTATATTAATGAAAAATAACAATTAACGACGAGGATGGGATTCGAACCCACGCGGGGAGACCCCAATGGATTAGCAGTCCATCGCCTTAACCACTCGGCCACCTCGTCTGTTTATATCTGAGCTGCTGACAGGTATTTCTAATCTATGTTAAAGACATGTCTAGTGTATGCATAATACAAACGTCTATCTAAATATCAAACATTTACTGTGCATTTGATTGAGTTAATAGCTAACGTGTGTCAAGTCATCCTATACACCATAGTATATATTACAAATATATCTTGCATGATTGTACCAAATAGAAATAGTTTGGCACTATATTAAAAAGAAAATACAATAAGTAACGTTAGAAATACCGAATCATATTTTAATGATATATAAGAATACCAGTCTTTAAACCCCTGGCTATCGAGGATGGTTTTTAAATTGGTAGAGTGAGATCTGTGCCAACTAACCCTTTACGATTTCAACATCTCGTCCTATCTAACCCATTGGATAAACCAAAGAATGCTGAAGTACCAAATGACCAATATCCGACATCAAAATTGATAAAAGTAGTGCAAAATTAGAACAAATGAAATATATTCATGGAGACCATTGAAAACGTGAAAAGAGAAAATGACCATGCGTTCCTGAAGAGTATGTGTCCCCTGCTTCACCGACGACACCAACCAATAAAATCTAGGCCAATGTAGTGCCACGTGCTCAAAGCAGGACCCGAGTAATGACAAGGCAACAAGGCACACTAATAAGGATTACATCGATCTCCATATTACTCAAGGACATAGAATATTTATATTACTCAAGGACATGAATATGTATATTACTCAAGGACATAGAATATTTATATTACTCAAGGACATAGAATATGTAGATGACTCAAGGACATAGAATATTTATATTACTCAAGGACATAGAATATTTATATTACTCAAGGACATGGATTATTTATATTACTCAAGGACATAGAATATTTATATTACTCAAGGACATAGATTATTTATATTACTCAAAGACATAGAATATGCATATTACTCAAGGACATAGAATATTTATATTACTCCGGGACAAAGAATATTTATATTACTCAAGGACATAGAATATTTATATTACTCAAGGACATAGAATATGTATATTAATCAAGGACATAGAATATTTATATTATTCAAGGACATAGAATATTGATATTACTCAAGGACAAAGAATATTTATATTACTCAAGGACATAGAATATTTATATTACTCAAGGACATGAATATTTATATTACTCAAGGACATAGAATATTTATATTACTCAAGGACATAGAATATTTATATTACTCAAGGACATAGAATATTGATATAACTCAAGGACATGAATATTTATATTACCCAAGGACATAGAATATGTATATTAATCAAGGACATAGAATATTTATATTACTCAAGGACATAGAATATTTATAATACTCAAGGACATAGATTATTTATATTACTCAAGGACAAGAAGGCGACAGTCCAACATATTACATGAAATCCCATTTCTTACAAGGAAACTACTTGTATCAGTTTTTTTAGACACCTTGTCTAATCTGATCAATATCAAGCGTATCTCAAAGTGTCGGCATGAAAAATATCAATACGAAATTGCGGTTGTGAGAAACGTGCTGAACGTAAACATCCGGTAAGTAGAGTTGATTTCTCTGTTTGTATCATTTTTCGGATAGTTATTCAACCAAAATTGTTATATAATGTAGAACAATCCATAAACAAAAAGACGACAAAACGCTAGCTGTCGCCATACTATCAATTCCTACGTTACTAACCGTACAAGCAATGCATAATTGTCTTTAAAAACGTTGTTTTCACAGAAGGAGATTTATTTGAGAATATATTGCATGCATTCCTTAATACAATAATTGGCAAATAACAATATATGATGTTTCTTGCATCAGGAAACAAAAAATACCATCTCAAAAATACACCATGACAAAATCCAAACTGTAAGATTAAAAATAAGGATACCAACATAATCTAAGGAGAGAAACGCATCATGTCCATAGCGTTTGTACTAAATATGGAATACCCTTAGCTGGCTCTAGCTGCAAACGGACAAGCTCGTCATAATAAAACATCGTGTCGGCCTCGCTTGCTCGAGTTTCCTCTGTCATATTTCCGTTATTCGGAGCCTCTTTAGAAAATATGCGTAAGAACCACATAAACCAAGTTCAGAGTGACTTAAGAAGACGACAACAATTGCGAATCAACCTGATCATCATTACTACGGCTGTAATTTTATTTCGACATGATAAAATAGTTTTGTGATTGTGGTTGAGAAACACGATTTTTGTTTCTCATCGATGAATGATTCACTCGGACTTTGCCCTCGTCAAAGTGGTCAATCTCGGGGAAACAAAGACTGTATTTCCCTACAGCAATACGACCTTATTTGTTACAAACGTCTTAATCGCAGCCAGGGGACTGTTGTAGCCGCTCCTAACTAATATATACATGGATCACGCCTGTGTTGTCCTCGCAGGATCGAAACATTATGAAATAAATCCCTTGCTGTATTTAGTTACTTGATGTTTAAGTAAGGGGCGACTAATGTGTGACCCTTTGGCATAGGGGTTTTTCTTCTGTATTCTGTTATAAAATAATACCTCGGAAACCAGTCATCAATTAACATTTAAAACGTCACCCATATTAATAGGATTCCAGTGGCAGACCTGGGTATGTTTGCATTTTGTTTTATACTTCATAGATTCAGATTGATCATTGTCATGGCCGTGTTTTCTTTAGGACGGTAACAAACGGTGATTAAGTTGTAATATTATTGAAATATAGATCTCTTTTTGCAAATTTCTCAACTACCGTCGTCAAAGGAATCCTTTTTTTTATAAAATATATAACGAAGATTTTGACTCAGACATTTGAAATGGGCTGTAAAGATTTCAAAAAATGGACCAATAAACGGGCTGCTTTACCGTCAAATTCGCCTTATTTCATTAATGTTTGTACAACAAACTTCCATTCGACAATGAGGGGAATTTGTTTCCTGGATGTTGTTTAAGTACATACTTGATTTTGTTTTGTACAAAACGTTATCTTGTTATTACGCGGTGGCCAAACACTTAAAAACACTTCACTGGTTCGAGTGATAAAATGACGGGAGATACTTGCATAAGACGCGGTCATGTTCAGTTAGGATGTCTCAAGATGAACATTTGTCAAGATTTAACTTCCTTCCTTACACACCCATATTAGTCCTTTCCGTTCCATCATGATATGTGCAGGACAGCTTCTGATGCATTTCATTGCTCAGCCGGCGTCAAGCTGGGGCAGAACTCAATTTTCTACAATGAATATGCTCATTTCGACTATATTCCCGTTCGTACTTCTCTCGTTTTGCAAATTATCAGACGGACAACCTCTGCCATCTGATCGCCGGAGAACGGTAGACGATGCTCTCATGGAGCAGAGGATACTTTCGAATATCAGGTAATCATTTTAGCTCAGACTGATAACGTCTGCCCATCCTTTTTTTTTTTTAAAGGTCTCCGTGTTTTTTGTTTGATCTTTTATTTCACCATTATATTGAATCGTTTAATAAGAATAAGGTAATGTCCATTTTTGCTAAAAAAAAACCATCTACATGAATACTTTTAAGAAAAAGGGTGCAACACGTTTAAAAGTGGGGGAATTGCGATCAAAATAGTTATAGTTAGTTTCACATTGCCCGTTATGGTCTGTTTTAGATAAGCCGCCTCTACTTTTGGTTCATTTGTTAGGAAAGAATTCATGTTTAACTCAGTAAGTTGTGGAATGACACATAATCTATAATCAAGATACGTACATGTATCGTTGACGTTATCGTTATCGTCATCGTTTTCGACAAGAAATAAATGATTCTAAAACAAGTTGATACCTTAGAGTTCCGACCTAAGTTTGTTTTGTCAACTTGCAGCGGAGTTCAATCTTATTTATACTAGTAGCAAAATTACGGTAGAGAATAAATATGACCTCCAAGACTCCATATGTTGTTTTCATTTTATTAAAATTTATCAATAAACAAATTGAAAAAAAAAAGATACTTCTATTTTATTAGCATAGTTTAATATGTTATTTAATCTTATGGAGTTTTGAAGCTACGGTGCCATTATATCGACTAAAGACTAACTGCTAGGTACTGGTATGTTTACCAGTCACACATTAAATACTGGGACTAGAACTTTTGTAAGGTGACTATTTCAGATATCATATCAAAGTCCAGACCTGCAAATATGAAATAATATAATTTATACACCATATACAAATCTTATACTCTGTATCAGACATCTTATTTACTTTATTAGATACAGCAGGAACTTTATAAGGTATTTCACCAAATTGTTCTTGTTATAATGTTTTACCAACGATTTCTCTAAATAATTTTGATGTCTTGTCATAAAAGCCGTCTATGACTGAAGTTTGACCCAGTATACTTATTAGATATCTAAATAGAGATCAGGCTGTATCATACAAATCCACAGGGAGAGAAAGAAGTAGTATTCCGGATGGTATCAAGAGTTTCCAATATTAAACAATCAGATACTAACAATATAACTATGAGAAGAATATGGATTTTGAAAATAATGGGCATATAAATAAGAAACTTCCTACCATCTCAACGGAGCATTAAAATAACATTAAAATATATATTTTTTTAAACGAGCTGATTTCAGTAGCTTTCATTATTTTTTTACTCATAGAACACATAAGGATACAACCTTACAAGCAACATCAATTAAGGATACAACCTTACAAGCAATATCAATTAAGGATACAACCTTACAAGCAACATCAATTAAGAAAAAGACATTTGAATATGATCATAAATGTGAAATGTATACCTACCCTGTATAAATGTACGCTATGATCGGAGTGTGCTCCTCCCAAAGTATAGGTCAGTTCAATAAGCGTTCATCTTCCGGCACGTGGATCTATCAATAGAACGCGAGATTCTAGTAGGGTCACATAGGTCACTGAAGAGGTGTTACTGTGCCTAGAAAGGGACACTTTGATATTTTGGCAAATATTGGGCGATAAACGATCAATAAAAAAGAAAATTTTACATAGTTCAAATATTTTGAGTCAAATGATGCTCTTTTTAAATCACTTTTCCAAACTAGAATTCCTTTTTAAAAAAAAAAGACTTATGAAAATGATGTCCAAATAAATACCGTCGAACAGCAAGTGAATTCAAAAAGGTTTGTTCTCGTAGTTATTTTTATCTTTAAACTTTCCGTGTAACCACAATCCTCAGCCAACAAAGCTGATATACTAATTAACAAACATGAAATATCATTGAGTGAAAATAACATAAAATAATTCTTTGCGTTGCATGCCTATTTTTTGAGAGTTTTCCCAAAAGTGTTCCGTTTTTGGACTCATTCAAACAACTACCGTTTCTATATATTATCTGCGTTAGTCACACGATAAAACCTGGATACATCATAACTGATAGTTGGGTTACATTACAGATGATAACGATGAATGACAACATACCGCTAAGTGTGTCCCCCACCCTACCCTACAGATGTTGGGTACACAAAAGGTGACCGCACTGCTCGTCTACCATGCACTACAAGAAACTTCACAGAGTGTCTCACGTATCTGGTCTTAACTAACAGTACAGATAAGTAATTTATATGAACATATCCGCCCATTGCCCGCTTGGCCGTTTGTAAATGATGAAAAACGTCAAGCTGAAGATGAACCAGATGACGTATTTATCTGTTTGTTCCATTCTGCTTGATAAAAGGTTTTTTTTTTCTGAATATGTCTGATACTGTTGTTAGGCCTCTGGTGATGCAACACTGTAGCAGCGAAGCTTCCGCTGACCAACTGTCGGAAATCCAGGACCTGACCAAGCGTGTTACGGTAATGGAGAAATGGGTTTTGTCTCAAAGTAATCAACGCATAGACGACTGCAATGCAACCTTCAGTGAGTACTTAATCAAAGATACATTTTCGACATAGACATGTTTTCACTATAGTATACATAGTGCAATATCAGAAATACCGAAGTTGGCACTACTTTTCTGGGGTCTCCCATCTTTGAAACCCTATGAACCAGCTCTCGATGCAGACAAGAATGCAGAGAATATAGTAGTGTGAATATCGATATAGGGGTTGGGGTCTATGTCTTTAAAGAAATTTGACGATTGGATTTTTTGTTTTTTGGATTTTTCTCCATTAACTATCACAATCTTCAATGTGTTCTTTGGGGTCTTAATCTCTTAAGTGATTTGACAAGTTAACTTGGTCTTGTCATTAACTCTTGATTTTTTTCTTAACTAAAGATAATCCAGTGCTAGTATTAAGTGATTTGACTCTTTCCAGAGTTCACTTATTATTCGGATATCAAATATCCCCCCTATGTATTTTGCAAGTGATTTGAAATAGAAGTCGCTTACCCTTCCGGGATATATTTTCTTTATTCTCATTGTACTTTTCCAAAGGTCTCCGTGTAATTCTTTCCTTAATTCATGTTTTGCAATAGTTTCAGCTAGTTGAAGTTCGAGTTCAGAATTTGTAGCGTCTTTATTAACAACGTGTAACATTACAATGCATTCAAAGTAAGTATATTTTACCCAAGTGTTAACAAATATCTGTTTGATTTCAGACACTTCCGACCGGTACCGAGGTGTGTACGAGGATCGATGCTATTACCTAGTTGGTAATGGCGAGTCCTGGACCGAAGCTCAGGTATCCTCAGTTATATTTTTCCATGTACGATAGTTATTTCAGTCATAAATACCACCATTTGAAAAATTTACTTATAACTGATATTACAGGCATTTTGCAACCTCTTATTCAGCATTGTTCTCATTTGCCGAAGATTCGCAAAACAAAGCCTAAATACAAAAGCTATAATGTAAAAAAACAACAAAGTAAGGTAGCACCTATTTAAAAATTTAGAAAGATGAAAAAAGTTGACATTTAAATTTAATGTTCTTATTTAATCAACAGGCTAGGTGTAAAAAACATGGGACGAACCTCGTGACCGTCACAAACCAGAACCTCGATTATTTCCTCTCAGGGATGTTAAGATTTCGCGGTAAGTGACGAAACAGGGAATATATAGAGGATATTTTATGGTTTTCCATTGTCCAACGAGTACAACAGATTCCGATATTTTCACAAAAGCAAAGCACGAGTAAAACATATCGGTTCATATTCTGCCTCAGGAGAAAAACTAGAACAGAGACTTTCCTATGAGTCCATTAGGTCCAACATATCAAGATGAGCGTATGCCTTACTGTGGGTTTGTATCGCTAACATGAATTTTAAAAAATTCAATAGGAAACAAATCCCCATTTTCGGCTACGGCTCAGGCTCGCGGAACCAAGAGGGACACTATCTTACCTATTGTATAACATTTTATTCTAGCAGATTAGGCCGTCCTTTTCTTTTCTGATTTATCAAAATAAGGCAAACACATTAGAAGCCTGTCGTATTAGAAGTGATACCTCGCTAGGTTAATGTTCGGGGTTTCGAGGTTGGTTTGATCACGTCAACAACTTGCAGTATATCATAACTCTTTCCCACGAGGATTAGAGTGTATGAATTGAGTGAATTTTCCCAACAATTGTTTAACTTTTCTTAAAATCTTTATGAAAAATGTTTTATAATTTCTTAAACGCTATTTGTTTCCTGTGAATAAAACGATTTCTATGTTTATTGCTCATATCATTTGTATATTGTTTCTTAAATCCCGAAAGAAAGAAACAAACGACATTTGGTTTAAAAATGTAAATAATTGATCTGTTTTAGGTTTATCTAAATGGTGGATAGGAGCCAGAAAGACGGGAGACACCTTCAGGTGGGTCACTGATCGCACTATCATCGATGACTACGACAAAAACTGGGACGGAGGTCAGCCCAGTCGTCGCGATGGATTTGATTGTGTTTATCGCCATGGGGCAACAGAAAAATGGCGTGATAATACCTGCACAACAGACGAAGCTGAAATTACTTCTGTCTGCCAAAGTTAGTATTGGTTATATCATAAGAACCGGGCAATATGTCAGTTGTTGTACGTGAGGGGAGGGAGGGGCTACTTCTCAATCGCGTAGCGCGAGAGATGTAAGCCCCGCCCCTCGAGTACGATAACTGACAAATTGCGAGGTCTATGATGTAACCGACTTGTTGCATAAAGTGTCACGCGACCATTGTTTTAGTAAAAGTTTGACATTTTCTCTAAAATATCACAACATGTCGGACTGCGTCCTAACCCAAGGCCAGTATTTTTTTCACCCGATGCATCTGATCTCTCATACACGGATTGAAAGTGACCTAGAAAGTATTACTAAAACTGTATCGGAAACTTTTTATATCTGCGGTCAAAGTTGACCAGGAAATGCCCGTTATAAAGACCCTGTTAGAAGTAAGGACCCGAAGGAGAAATGGTAAAAAAATGTGGTCGTTACATGTGAAAATTATATTAATTTTTATATGAAACCTACAGATGTAACGACAAGGTTCCACTGTAACGTGTCATTCCATCACAACACGAATTTATAATAATCTTATTCCGTGTTACATGTTACAAAATGAAAACAAAAGGTTCGTTCGCGGACTCTGTAAAGGTGAATTCTGTTCGTTCAGTTTTTGTAACAATTTTGCTGAATAAAAAAATATTACTACTTTCTATATTTGTACTTTTAGTTATTTCCCACGGTGACATTCCTTGTTAACAGGTTCAATGAGGTTCACAAGTTGGAAACGTTACATTTTCATTGGCAGACGAATGAGAATTGAGAAATGTATTGTACTCTGTAAAGGGGAGGAGCTTCCACTATCAGTAAAACCGTGTCAAATTGGTTGGTTATGCCAAGGCTAGATCAAAGGGAAAGTGACACGTAGAATCCAAAATATCGTATCATGAAAGACGGCAAACTCCAATTTCTCACCCGACACGATTTCTCACCCGGGTTAAATTGTGCCGTAACAAGCGGTTTATATATATATATATATTACATTTGCATGGCATTGTCACTATATATGCTATTTGAAAGCTGTGTCGTTGATGGGACTTGAAATACCATGCACCGCGAGACATAATTCTTAGCGTATTGAAATATCGCTGGGCATACTTTTATTACAACAAAAACAAGACCAAGGTCTGCAATATCTTACAAACTGCACATCGGTTGTAATAACCAACGCCGGCAATGGAAACAATTTGAACACTCATGCAATTTATCAGAAATATCGTCTGATACACTGCACTGATCAACAGTGGTTCGTTACAAATGTCTCAAATACACATATGCAATATACCTACTGATATGAGTCACAGCACACTAAAACGTACACGGGGCATATGTGTATTTCAGACATTTGTAACGAACCCCTGTACTCCATCGCAAGTATCACGCGTCTCTCAGTTACGATTTCCTCAGTTTCTGACGACATGTAAAATAAGGAGGCTGTTGTAGAATCTACCGACTGTAGTCAGGTTCTCATACAATCGACAAATAAATTCACGCCTGGATTCTTCACAAATTCGAACTTTTCTCTCTGCTTATTCAATTTCCAAAAATAACTCCCTCGTGGAGGGCAAGGTCGGATTCACGGTGTTCACTGTATTTATCCAATCGAAACAATTTAACATCTAACTTTCAGCTCAGATTTCTTTTGATAAAATTAAATCACCCTATACATATCATACGCAATTGTATTGATACTAAATTGTGGAATAAAATTGAGATGTTTGTTAAAATTTCAAAGTACTACTTTTGTTTGACAATTAGCACGCGACAACACGCTGTTTCAACTATTGAACGAATTTGTGTGGACTGTCGATAAGGCGGGAATTTTATTAAATTTTAAATATTAATTGTAAGTTAAAAAAGAACATAAAAGGCAGAGAAATGTAGATACAAGTATTGAACGGTTTTTGTATGGCTTTTATGATCTATTTGAATGACATAGCTTTGAAAGCTGTGTCATTCAAATAGATCATCAATACTATACAAAAACAGTTCAATGCTTAAGTAATTTAGATATACCAAACTTGTGCATGAGCTATTACAAACGTACTTAACCAGGTCAACGTAGTCAATAATAAAGCATAAAGTCTGATGTCTTGATGAAAATTGCTCACTGGATTTTAAACATGTCTATCTCTTGAGCGATTTTACTGAATGTTACGAAATGACATTTATTTGAAGTTCATTTATATACCTAGGTCAGGCGGGACTTAATTTCTCTGTAACAAGCTGTGGAGAGTCATACCGGCCTCACAAGTAGATGATTGTTGCTATGGGAATGTACAAAAATCACAGTAAAACGTCCGCGTAACATATTTTACCGGTATGTATATGTAAAACCACAGACCTATCACCAACAAAACGACTTTAACTTCATATAAAATGTCATTTCTTAACATTATCGTTGTTATAAAAAAGATAAACTTGTTATAAACATTATCGTACTTTTCAGCTTCAATTTTCATAACATGTCTAGCGCATTTATAACATCACATAATGTTATCAAATGGCACATCACCTAAAGTTCATATATCGATCAAGGTAACTTAGCCTTTGTTTTTCTTATTTATAACTTACTAAAATGAATTACCAGAGGATTTTACTATGATTTTAGTGGTTCCGCATGGCAACATCTATCGTTATTTGAGTTCGGAATTCCTCTCAACAGCTAGTAAAAGAGAAATGAAGCTCCGCATCACCTAGGTATATAAATAAACTTTAAATTATGGGTTATTTCTCAGCACTAAGATGGGTCGCAAAAGAGATTGATATGTTAGAAGTCCGCTGAGCTATTTTCAAGAAGACATCAGCCTTAATGCCTTATTTTCGACCACGTCAACCTCGCTATGTATTTTTTGTATAGCCAATGTACAAGTTCAATATATTCAAATTACATATTTAAGTTCCGAATTTTAATTGAGGTCTTTGAATTTGACTTATCAGGGGGTTGACATTGTAGGTGACTACATCAATCTTTTAGGAGGCTTGTAGAACCTTAATGGACACACCACATTTAAGGATACATTCCCCACTCACTGTACCATGATGAACCCAAATCTGATGTGTCTGGACAGCTGAGTTTCCATCAGACTCGTGTAGTCTTTTATTTAACTGAGTTTCTTCAGTCGCTGTATTAAATGAAATGATATCTCTTAGGATAACGGAATTCCCTCTCTCTCGGGGTTTACACGAATGTGTCGGTACAAGCGAGTTTAGATGTACGTAAATACCCAATATCACGGTGATTATTTAACGTAAGGCATTCCATCAAAATATATATACGTGTAAAGTTAACACAGTGACTCCTATATTACCGACTTCTATTCATATCGCAAACGGTTCTAAGCGATCAATAATTTTCATGTGAGAGTGGTCTCCCCTGCCTTCAGCGTCAGCAGCAGTTAGGAAGGTCGAATTGATTATCACCGTCCTGAAGACGATTCGACCTGGATGCACTCTCAAAAATGAAAACCAAACCTGCGGGTGCTTCACCGGTGTGAGAGACATCTAGTCAACAGGTGTGAGTCCTACCTGTGTGTCTTGTGGCCATGGATAGACAAAGTAAGTGTATTTATTGACGTGGATTGTTTCGGTTTGTCTGTGTGTGTATAAACACACACACATAATAGTCATATCGCAATGGCTGTCTGTGTATGTAGCAGAAACGTAGGAGTGGCTTTAACGTGAAGTATATGTATAGTCTGCTGTTTGTAAACGTTTCCAATGTGTATATCGTGTACGCACGACACAAGTTCTTCGCTAAGAACATACCTCATAGCTATTCATCTACGCCATATGTCAGCGCAGTAATGCATCTAGGATGCATTCACAGTCAGTGTAATAGGGACCGGAACCAGACACTGGAAGGCTTGGGTTTTCCCGCGGTCCTTGAAGACCCCAGGGATCCGTCTGATACAGACTGTGTCAGAATATATAATTGTATGTAAGTTAACGGGGGAAATTATTTTCACGGTATCTGATGGTATCCAGGATACACACTAGACACATAGTTCTTTGCTATTGTCTGTGACATTTTAGAACACGTGTACTGAGAATCTGTACGCGTACATCGCTTATTTAGACATATGGATAAAATTGTCAATAAGTGAAAATGTCATCCTATACCTGTCAGGTAACACCTCTTGCAAATTAATAAAAAATCATATTTTTTATTTTAATTTTTTTTTTTTTTTTTACAAACAATCCAGAAAGTAAGGAAATAAATCTGTTGCACCTATCAATTTTAGCCACTTGTGCATGAATTCGTAGGCTCTTCCCAAAAAAAAGCAAGGCCGCTTCTCAGGTACGATGTCATGTAGCACAGGTTGAAGCCTTGCTCAAGTCCGAAATATTTGAAGTAAAAGCCTTCCATTCTGAAATCCGATAACCCGTAAAATTGACTGTAAGCTGCAGCTATGGGATCCGTCCCTAATTGTGTGATAGATATTTACTTTAAACATTTTATGTCATCAGACAATGACCAGCGATCCCCACTGCTATATCAATGTATCCTTGCATGAAATTGCTAACGTTATGTATCTCCCATTTAATTTAGCTTGGTTTTAGCTCGACAAAGCTTTGCTCAAATGAAATATTTCAGGGTTCGTTTTATAAGTCTCAAAATAAATTCAAAAAAATCTGATTTTTAAAAAAAAATGTAAATGTTTTGGGAAAATGATACTGCGCTTCTGTTGATTTCAGGACTCTAACTATGGCGTTAACCTAAAACGGGGAATAAATTACGACAAAATTATAAAATTTGTATGTGTAAAAATAAATACCTGAATTGTAATTGTTATTGCTCATTTTAATCAGGTTCCCTCCCTCCTCCGCCGTCCTATGAGGAAGCACAGGGACTTCAGATCAGCGCTCCAAGGAATAGTTCTGCTAATGACAATGAAGACACGCCAGCATCTATGCCGTTGCTTGGTGCAACCGGCGGAAGTGGTGCAACGGCAGGGCCGCAGAACCAAAATTTGGGTCAAATGGGAGTTTTCCCGCCAAGCACGGTTGCTGTGTCAGCAAACACAGGCACCACATCCTATACAAACGTCACTGCCGGGACCACGGTGGATGTTCCGTCTGTGATGGGTACAAGTACCCCTACATCCATCCCCATCCCACCAGGCCATGTCCCTATCATCACGTGTCACAGCTGTGGCGCAAGGCAACAGATCGGTCAATACTCATTCTTACCAAAGACTCAAGTGGTTAGTATGCAAGCCAATGTGGGCAGCATGAACTTTTACTCGCCTCAACCCCCCGGGTCGGAGATAACGGCCCCGAACTATATGATAGCTGCGGGGCAGCAGCCAGGCTACCCCTCGTCCTTACCGGCAAGTGGGGTGGTACCGTCACAGCAACAGTGCAACGTAGCTGTCCACTATAACTCAAACCAAGGAACAGTCCAGTCACAGCTGATCAACGCTGCAAGTCAAAACGGATCGGAGGTAAGTCCAGCACCTTTCCACGTAGTCATGGAGGTTAGCCAGCTCGGTTGTGTGAACAGTTGCTATGCCAGACTCTCACAAATTTATATGATAAAATAGTCGGACATAATTTGAACGTCTCATTCAAATGTGCTCCTGTCACGTGCCATATATTATCAGTTTCGTAAGACTTCGCGAGACTTGTAAATTATGTAAAAAGATAATATCTCAGTGGCGCCAAACCGTCACAAGCTTGGGTAAACGTCTACATCATATTTTCAAGGTCACTAATAAGTCAAATATAAAATGACGAACATTTGATTAAGGCGACTACGTTGATCTAACGCCTATACTCCCCGAACTTGACGCGACAAAGCGATACGTACCACAGCATCAGTACGTCACCAGATATCCGAGACTTGACAAATTTGTTCTCTACGTGCAAGGACATTTACAAGTAACGTCAAAAGTCACCAAATTTGTTAGGACTTGTACCTCGACCATATCATTTGCAAGTGACTTCAGAACGTCATGAGCTTTTAGGATTCCTGACCCTCTGTACTGTTTTCAGTAACAACTGTAGCTCACCTAGTCCAGGACACATCCGTTGACTAGGTAGCTCAGTCGGTGGATGTATAAACAAATTGAGGACCCAGGGATCGAGTCCCGGCCTAGTCACACTGACTTTTTACACTCAGAACACTATCGTTGAGTATTTTTTGTATATTTCATCTCGCTAACATACTTTATACGCAGTGATCTGTTACCTGCTGTCTGTGATGTTGCCCTTCGTAGAGGTACAAGTGGGGCAATTAATTGCAAACAAAATGTGATGGATAAAGTCAGAGAGATCCGAATGTTCATACAGGATTGTTGGACATTGTTCTGTTATCCCACGCACGGCGGCGCTGTTGTTTGGTTACGGTCGGAAATTGATAAAATCAGAGATCCGAATTGGCATTTCAGGGTGATACTAATACCAGAACCAGACGGAAAACCAGGAGCAAGTGCTTTAATGTGTTTCTTTCATGTTTTTTTAATGCAACTACCTTAATGAATTGATATGACATGAATAAAAATGTATTTTAGCACAAGTCTATTTAAAAAATATACATTGCTTTATGATTTAAAACAGAAATCCAAAACATATCAAACATACCGGTCCTGACATTACCAGCCCTGTTTTTAGTAAAAAAGCAAAAAGCAAAAAAGCCGTAATAACATGTAAAAACAGTATTTTAAACATATCTTTATTATCTTATTTATTCATTTAGTTTGGTGTTCTTGTATTTCCTACATGAAATAAGATTTAAAATTGAGTTAATAATACTTAAAATAAATATTTGGTCTCGGTTTTCCCTGTCCTGGTTTTAGTAATGATTTTTTTGGTCCTGGCTGGATTTGAGTCACTAAATTAGAAAATATTTTTTTTATTTTCTTATTTATGTGTAAGTATTAATATGTTCTTTTAAATTATATAACAAAAAAAAATCAAACTTGCACAATAACTTTAAAAAATAAAAAATAAAATTGCTGGTCCTGACAATCCGGTCCTGGTATAAGTGTGACCTGCTATCTTACTTTTAAGTAGTACTAGCACGGAATTAGATTATATTTGCTATCTAAGTGGTACTAGTCACTGGTTGAATGATATTCATGTTATCTCTTTCTCATTCCCTGCTAGGGAACTTACACTAAATCACATATATATATTATATAACAGGGTTTATACAGGCATTGAAAAGGCCAGTCCCTCAACTGAGGAATAATCCTGCAGTTATGCGACATAACCTTGTTCACAACATGCGTGTAGTACCACCTGACCAACTGGTTGTCCGCTCGTGGACGCACTGACCACCAAATTATCTATATTTCAAATAAATCTCAGCATAACTACGCGAGCTTCTACATACCCATCTATCTCAAACTTTACTATAACGTTAACTGCTTACTAATAAATAATGCTGTTGGTAGCCTTCTTAGCTTATTGGAAAGCTAATACTTGTCAAAGCTATACTCGTCCCGGAAAAAAAGTTTCTAATGCATATTTTGAGTTCTTGGCTGCGGGTGTACACTACTATGTCGCGCACTAATCAGTTTCGCGGACACGCTTTACAAACAACTAGCAATACAAACATACCACACCCGTCCATTACAGGGCTAACTAGAAATCATTTATCTGAAGGCAATAAAGATACACTGCCAAGTCCCAGGCCATGCATAGTCAATACGGACACAACCGATCTGGCTTCCCCTGTACCCAGTCAGGACTCATCCTGGTCTTCCGAAAGTCCCATCACCTGACAAGACATAAGTCTGATTAAAGATGATAAAACTGCAAAATGAATTGTATTAAGAAAGAAAACGAGTTTTTGCGACTTTTACTTTTCAAAACTAACTAACCAGAATTAGATAAACTATAATCACTGTGCACTTTTTTGTTTTAATATCAAGCAGTCAAGTCGTTAACCATGAAACGACGAGTTAGATCGCGTAGGAACTTATTCAGGTGATAAGATTGCCAATTAATATGCAAAAATATTCACTATTCCATAGTTCAGGTATGGAACGTGTTTAATTGGTTGATTAACATTTGTGATTCGTCATCTCCAAATCCAAGAAACCACATATTTAGGACAGATTTAATTTAATAGAAACATCCTGTTTCTTTATTTTATATAAAATGTAAAGCTGACACAAAACGAAATTCTTGTTGTGTTTCCTCTTTCGGCTCAACTATTTACTTTTATACAAAGGTTGTAATAGAGACATATTTTAAAAATTATAACGTTTTTGTTTATAATCTGTGAAATTTTTTTCTTCTCTTCAATCCAGAGTTAATGGGGCTAGTGGAATTCCAATGATTTTCGTTACTGTAATTATATTAGTTACTGTAATTGTATTAGTACTGTTTCCTTATACTAATTAAGGATTGGACTCTCTTCTAAAAATAAGCTTTCCCAGACAGGATGAGCACTAGACTTCCATGTAAATGTTGTGACAAGGTGGCAATCCAGGTATATTAGTAAATCATTCTACAATGAAACCTGTCTTTACCGACATTAAGGGGAAGATAAGTCCAAAAAGACAGTGTGTCAGTTAAGTCATGGTTAAATACATAGAAAATGGCTTTTTGGGCCATAAATCATGTCAGATAGGACAAGGTGTCACTGAAACCAGGTGTCGGTTAAGTCAGGTTTCACTGTATAAGTGTATATTTTGTTCGGATCTTTTCCATCCTTGCAAACGAGTACATACATTTTATACAGGTATAATTTGTACCAGTACCAAGCAAAGTGAAAATATCGATAAATGTTACCTTGAACTATGTTTTATATGCAAACTTAAATCGTTTTAATTCTTTTTCCAATCATGATTACAATAAGGTGAAGGTTCGAGTGTTTAAATGTTTGAGACGTTAATGCTTTCAGTTTTTGCAACGATGGGACCTGTCTTAACTGACTATTAAGTGCTACGACATCGTGTATGGTACAACAGACCGATGTTATGATGGTGTTATCAGCTGCTTTCTTATAAAACCTATTAAATAAGAACATGTAGATTCCGAATTCCTTTGTTTTTATAGTACAAAATGTTGTTTTATCATTTCTCCTGAAACCTATCTAATATAACCTGTGTATTACGATATCCTGGTTTATTTGACCAGTACGTTATGTTATATAGAGTGTCAGATAACACAGGTTGTAACGCAGAAAGCGTATAACGAATTAGTAGCAAAATTCTTAGAATAAAAAAAACGCATATAAATCTTGAAACCGGATAATCGAACATTGGAGACGGTACATATATTTTCATATCGTCACTTCCGAGAAAAGGTTAGAACTCTAAGTTGTCAATTCTTCTTACTTTAAGAAAAAAATTACTGTGAAACCTGTCCAATACGACTCCTGAGTTACCACTGGTTTTACGTTTAAACATCTTGTCTAATCTGACCAATATATCGCGCCCACCAACTGTGAGATTAGACAAGTAACGCAGTTAATACGTCTGTCTATAGTGTGTTACACACCTACCAGTTTAAATTCACAGGGACTTATATAAATAGATGTATCTAACACCTGACTACTTGGATTGCTACCTTTGACTTTTGGTATGTGTTATTTACATATTTGAAAATGTCTTATGTACAGAAAAACCTCGATATAGTGCCCCTTGTTTCATTTGTCACGTTTTAGTGCCGCCGTTTGTGATATTATTCTGATTGAACGTTTTTCGTTTTCATCGTATATTTTATACCGACTAGAGTACCTATACTTTAAGCAGGAGAAGAACAACTCTTCGTCCATACGTCTCCTCCCATACATTGTCAAACCGTTAACAAAACAAAAGGCTTATAGAACAAAGGATGGCGGTATATCGAAGGTTTCTCGATTTAAACTTGATATTTAATTTTGTATCTTATTCTGAATGTATTTGATTTAAATTTGCCAGAATTCGTTTAGCTAAAAAAAAAAATCTTTTTTTCTTTCTTCACCTTTTAGCTCTTCATTGATTTATAGACCGCATATATATGTTTATTATGGCACATTTTTGTTTTCTTTTTGATATTTTGTTTTAATCTAATCAACACTGATGTTTATTCGCGAGGCGCGTACTGACTCTGAGTGCATCATGCTACGGTGACGAAGACAATGAACCGTACAGGCAGAAAAGCTGAATGAATTTAGTGAAGTTTGTTTGCTAACTAAAATTATAAATCGTTTTATTTTAGTAATTACCGAGTCCGTGATATATAACCGATGGAACCAGATGCCGAATCACGAGGTTGGTTCGCACTCGTTAACATTTAGTTAACGCGTTTACTCGACTCCTTGTATACCAGACAGCTAGAATCGTGTTTGTTACCACTCCTGGTCCGGAGTCTGGCTCTGTGTGAAACTTGTTTAGTAGTGACGTTGTAGTTTCCGGAGAAACATGTTTAATTTGGGAATAAGACGAGCTCCTGTTGTCTTGTTAACTTGACGTCGTCCATGCCTTTAGCGTTAATTGATAAACACACA